ATGATATGGACAGACTACACTTCCGTCTGCCACAGATCCGATGGTTGAAACTTAAGTAATCCTACTCAGTTTCTGTGTACCGTGCTATCTCCTACCTCTAGCCTAGTACCAAGCCCCTCATACTTCTGGGACTAGGAGCCATCTCTCCGACTCGTCCCCGGCAGCGCCAGGTTCATTCGGGGCTATCTACTCCCCAAGACCGAATTGCTCTCAGGAAGATATTACGGGCACCGTTGTGGTCCCGGTCTAACTCCACTCCACAGCTCCTGCACTGGAACGTCTTCGCCCCTCCCAAGCTTGGGTGCAGCCACCCACACGCCCCACATGTCTTGCTCGTGTACGCCTCCGGAACGACCATCACCTGCACGCCCATCCGTGCTGCCCGCTCCAACAGCTTGGCTTTGAATGCCCCGTGCCTCCACTGCATCATCGCCCGTGCCGTCTTGTGATTCAGCCGCGTCGCCATGCGATGCGTGTCGAACGGCGGGAGGAGCACCGCCTTGCACTCCCTTACCAGGTATGCAACCGTCTGATTGTCTACCTCGTCCTTCAGCGCCTGTACCTTTGCCCTCAGCCGGTGCATCTTCGCCCGAATGTGCTCCCTGCTACGCCCGTCTAGCGGGACGACATGCGCCCCCTGCTCCTTCTTGGCCGGGCGGTAGTGGTCGAACAGCCGCATAGTAGACGCACCAGGCTCACGCCTCACGTGCTTCCGTGACACACAGAATTCTCCCTTCTTCAGCGCGGAGATGCAGCGGTCTACGTGGCGGCAGAGCCGCACCACACGGGCGATGTCTCCCCCGCCTACGTCCACCACCCTGCCGTCCGTCATGTAGATCGAGTGCCGAGTCCGCACGCCGGGGTCGATGGCAGCTACGGGCCGGTCCCCCGCTTGGTTCTCGCGGGTCGACTCTGCCAGCGCCTCCACCCTGGCCGCAGCCTCGTTCGTGCCCCTGGCGGGGCCCTTCGCACTCAGGACCAGCATCCAGTAGCGGCCCAGCTCGTCTTTGGAGACCTTCAGCTCCCTGTCGTAGTGGGGCCTCAGGTGCCCTGGCTCCGCCACCCGCAGCTGCCCGAACTCCTTGATCTTGCGCGGCCAGAACCTGCTGCCTGAAACCGCATTGAACGCCACTGCCAGCGACCACCGCGGGTCCTTCTTCTTCCGGAACCCCAGGCTGAAGTGCTCGATGTTGCCCGCTCGCACGTTGCTCAGGGCCGCCTTGCACGCCTCGATCGCGTCTTCCACCGCCTGCTGCCTCGTCTCCTTAGGCACGTCCTTCAGGTACGGGTTCGCCCGCACGAATGCACTCTTCTCCGGGACCAGAAAGTTCTTCACGTACACCTTGTCGAGCCACGGGTGCTTCGTGCCCTTGTACGCTCCCGCCCCCTCCCCTCGCCCGCTCTCCTCCTCTTGGCCGCTTCTGGCCTTGCGCTTCCGCTCGGCGAGCCGGAGCCCTCGCTCTCGCTCGGCCTCCCGGAACTCCGCCTCGCTCGCGAACGGCAGCCTGCGATCCCGGATCATGGAGACCGCCTCGTTGTACAGCTTCCTGCACCCGCCCACCAGCCTCCGGAGTATGTTGCGCTGCTGCGCCGTCGGGAAGGCCCGGATCTTCCTGCACACAGTCGGGCACGCCCGAGCCACCTGAACTGCCGTCGGGGGAGCCCCGCTTGCGCGCGCCTCCCTGCTTGTAGCGCCTCTTGCCGTTCCATCTACCAGCGAATACTTGCATGATGGCCAGGATGTCCTCTGTGCACTCCTCGTTTGGTGACTTGTCTCCTGAATCGAGAACCAGGATCTGTGTCCCTTGGCGGAGGCAGATCCATTGAAGGAGCTCGAACGCGAAGCGGCACAGGCGGTCTTTGCTGGTAACCACCACTTGCGATACTCGGCCTTGCAAGACTCGTTCCAGAAGGGATAGCAGTCCGGGTCTCTTGAAGTTGATGCCGGAGCCCACGTCCGTGACAATGCGGTGTCCGGGGTATTGGTGAGCGAGAAAGTCCTTCTGGCGCTGCAGGTCGTCGCGCTGCTTGGAGCTGCTGACACGGCAGTAGGCGAGGCGTTCCCGGCCTTCTTCCGCTTGGGAGGTGGCGGCGAGGAAGACCCTGTGGTTGCCAGCGGTGCGCTTGGAGACGACCTTGGCTTCATTGGCCCACCTTCGGAGTGTGCAAGAGGAGACCCCGAAGTGGGCCTTGGCGGCCTTGAAGCCGAGGAACATTGTGTGGAGGGAGCATCTTTGGAAATGAGAGAGAATGTTTGTAATCCGGGCTTTTATAGGCGCGTCGATGGCAGGGTGACCTCAGCAATGTTGTTCGGTCTTAATAAGGTGTGACGTGACCGAAGTTCGATAGGTTTCGAGAAGGATTGAGTAGGATCGAGAAGCAAAGCTGGCAGCAGCAAGGACCTCTGGGTTCCGTCCAGCCAAGCTCTTCTAACATCCTGGATTCCATGCTCTTCTGAATAAGCGTGTCTGGACAAATGGCGTAAACGTCAATACCCATCGGTGCTTCTCGACATCAAACATTCTTTGGGACGCAGACTTACGCAGACTCTAAATGCATAGGGAGTAGTTCCACAACTTTTAGAACCAAGATCCGGTGAGGTAACGGAACCAGCTGCTGGAACGTTCGATGGGTTTCGGGGGCGGAACGCCTGCATCCATGTTCTTCTTTGGCGGATGAGTACTCGGTGGCGGTTTCTTAGCCCTAGCGTCGGAGTTGTGATTCGAGGTCTGGTCGCCCGAATCGCTCGATCGCGGTAAGGGTTCCGACATACCGTTCGGAAAGAAGATCAGATTATTTTCCCGAAGACCGGCTAGGTCGGCGCATGGTTCATGGTGGAAGCTGCGGGTCTCGGAGTGGGTTTGTCGCCTGTGAAGACCCACTCGAGCAGCGCTGCGACGAGGACGACGGCGATGAGGATGAGCAAAGCATACAGCCACCCCTTGGGTGGAGAGGGCGCTGGCGTCTGAAGGGACCCCGAGGAACCGGAGGACGTGCCGCTCTTGGAGGGAGAGGGAGCGGCGGCTGGTGCCGGCGCATCGCTGGCGAGGCAGGACTGGACGGCACTGCCCAGGCTAGCGACTCCTCCGTCGGTTCCTGAGACGGTGATGCTGTTCAAGCAGCTCGGGCATCCAGCTTTCGAGAAGCTGACGGCCTTGTAGCCTCTTTCCTTGCAAGGTCCGAAGTAACACTGGGGATTGCGATTCGCTCCTGCCGTTCCGTTCACGGCGCTCATCACCGCTTGGTACGTCTGGTCCGCCCCCCAGTCTTCTAGACGGGGTTTGTTGACGCAGGAGCACAGGTCCGAAGAGTCCCCCTTGCACTTGTTCGCATAGAGCACGTTACACTGATCTTTGAAGGCGGGCCTTCCCGGGCCGCCGGGGACGTACATGTCGACTCCGCCGGCGAGGCAAAAGTCTTGACAGACCTGACTCTTGTAGTTCTGACCCGTCGAGCAGTGGTCCATCTTCGCTCTGTCTTGATCGGCGGCTTGCGTCGGAACCTTGCCGACGTAGATGTTGCACTTGTTGGACCAGGCCCGAGTACCGGTGCAGTAACCCTTCATCGAACCATTGCAGTCGATCGCGCCGGACAGTTCGGGCGTCAGCGGATCCGTCCCGATGCAGACGTCCGCCGTCCGCTCTGGATCGTTCTTCACGGCATCGATTTCCGCAAAGTCTTTGCACGTGAACGACAACTTGCTGAGATCATTAGGGTGGTTGCCGTTGTTCGCCGGGCCTCCTGAGATGGATGTTATGAGAGCCTTGTCGCCGGCCGGTCGACTGCCGGCTGCACACCATTGAGCGAACTGGGGCGCGTTAGGTCCGCCGATGGAAGCACCGGTGGACCAGGGGTAGCCTTTGATGTACGCGTTGACGTCCTTCGTGCCCAGGTCCGTGCCGCAGATGGGTTGGATGGAATCCACCACGGCCGACGCTTTCAGGAGCATTCCGCTGAGGCCCGCGGGCCCACAGTCGAACGAGCGGGCTTCGCCCGGCTTGCCTATCATCTTGCTCACCACCACTCGAGGAGCCGGAGGATTCATGTAGTTCGTGCATTCGATCGTGTTGATGTTGGTCACGGAT